TTACTCCCATTTTACAGATGAGGAAACCAAGACTGGCCAAGACTAAGTGAATTGCCCAGGTTTACACAGTTAAAGTCTAAGGCAGTATTTGAATTCAGGTCTTTCTGATTCCAAGTTCAGAACTCTATCCACCACTCCACCTACCTATCTTTAAGTCCATTTAGATTTCCACCAATTCTAGCAGCCTCTTGGCTTCTCTCCCATAATCTACCCCAACTACAGTCACATTCATGCCAAAGAGGTGAAAAACTGAGTCCACATTCTCTTCAAAAAGTCTCCATGTGCTCTGTCCATTTAGTATGTAAGTTCCAACAGCAGCACGTTGCATATTCAATCAATCAACAAGCATTTACTAAGCATTAGTGTGTCAGATGATGGAGATTCAAAGACTGTAATTTGACTGTTGCTGCCCTCAAGGAACTTTCATTCTATCCAAAGAGACAAAATGTACATATCATATATATATGTATATATGTATATGTATGTATGTATGTTCAAAATATATACTAATTAATATTGGGAGCTCCTTAAGAGATGTTTTTCAATCTTCAGAGTATCAAGGCTCAGGCCTAATTCTATCCTGAAGGAGGTTCTGTTTTAATCAGAATAAATAGGGGAAGAATCATCATTTCTGTGTCTTCTAACAGCATTTTTTCACGAGGTTCATTGGAAGCTATTGATAGGCAGCTAAGTGGTGAAGTAGATAAAGCACCAGACCTGGAGTCAGAAAGACTCATCTTCCTGAGTTCAAATCTGACTTGAGAACAGTTACTAGTTGTGTGACCCTGGACAAATCATTTAATCCTATTTGTCTTAGTTTCCTTATCTGCAAAATGAGCTGGAAAAGAAATGGCAAACCACTCCAACATCTATGCCAAGAAAAGCCCAAATGGGGTCACAAAGGGTTGGACAAGACTGAAATGACTGACCATTGGAGGCTATGATAAGACAGGTCGTGAAGCCACTTCCATGTGAAGCTGGGAAACCTGAATCTGAGAATTCTACCATGTGAATGTTAGAAGAGGCCTGAGGAGTCATTAAATATGACATCTCATTTTACAGATATGAAACTGAAGCCTGGAGTTCTGAAGTAACTTGTCTGACACCACCCAAGTCATAAATAATCCAAGTAGGGTTTGAGGTCGGATCTCTTCATTGAAAATCCATCATTCCTTCCATATTGCCAATCTGTTAGAGATTCACATCCAACAGATCAGAAAAACTCCATTTTGTTTCTTTTTACTACTTTGTGGTTGTTGTTGATGGTGGTAGTTATAAGGCAGGGGATCTGAATCTGTGATTTGATCAATGTTGGGAACTTCCAGTGTGGAAAATCTTTCTTCTTATGAAGACTAATAACTCTCTCAGACTTAAAGTCTTAGAGAGTTGCTTGGAGGGGGGAGGGCTCTAAGATGTTGTTAGTTGCCTAAAGTTCTATAACCCTTATGGGATAGAGCCAGGCCTTGGATCCAAGGTTAGCCTTCTCTTCACTATATCATGATTCCTCATCATTCCTATGTAATACAGTAAAAGTAGCTGACATTTACATAGATATTATATATCTATATAGAGTAGTACTTTGCACATAACAGGTACTGGACAAATGTTTGTTGATGTTATTGGATGCAAACTCTATAGCAATTGAACCATATGTTCCCTGAGGGCAAGAATCATGCCAAATCTTTACTTTAAAGTTCCCAAGTACCTACCACAGTGCCATGCATCTGGTAACTCTTCATATATACTTATTGGCCAACTGAGTGAATACTACAAGAAAGAATTAAATTCTTTCCTTTTTTTTTTTCCTGAACCAAGCTTGTATGTTCTAGAGAACTAAAGTCAGACTCTCCATGATGAAATTTCTGAGTGATTTGTGTCAACCTGCCTAAATGTCATGAAAGGGCTAAGGGTGGCAGAGAACAGGCCAAGAAACACAAATCAGAAGGAGAAATGAGCTCCTTGGGGGATGGGGGATGTCTGAAGATCCCTGCTTTTCCCTGTTCCTAACTGCAGTGTTGCTCTCAGGTTCCCAAGGGTCGCTGTATTTCCTCTTCATTCCCTCTCCTTTTACTGTGCTGATATATATGTGTTACTTACAAGATAGAGATTCACATCCTGATTGTGTCATGCATCAGGGTGAAATTGGGCAAGCCATGAATGTCTCTGAAGAGCTATATTTTCATCATTCAACTCCAGAGGGGGTAATGTTTGCCCTATGTACGTACCTGACGGGATTATTGTAAGGTTAAAATGCTTTTCCTCCTCCCCTCCATCTCTTAAACTCCTAACTCCTTTTAAGGCCACCTCCTGTGGGCAATCTTTCCTAATACCCCCACCCCAATTGTCAGTGTTTTCTACAATGTTTTTAACAGCGCCCATTGATTACTTTGTATTTCCTTTGCATATATGTGTGTGTGTGTGTATGTATTTCAAATACACACATGCACACACACACACACACACACACATGCACACACATATATCTCACACTCCCAGTAGACTATGACTCCTTGGGGGCAGGCATAATTTCATTTAGTTTTTATATCCCCATAATCTAGTGTGGTGCCCAGCTTTCATTTTTAAATAATGCACGTGAAAACACTGCAACTCTTAAAATACTAATATGGAAATTCCTAATAGACACATACCAATCTCATGAATGAATGAATGACATTAATTAATCTATCAGCTAGGTGGTGCAGTGGATAGAGAGCCAGGCTTGAAGTCAGGAAGACATCTTCTTGGTTCGAATCTGGCCTCAGATGCTTATTTGCTGTGTGACCCTGAACAAGTCATTTAACGCCATTTGCCTCAGTTTCTTTCAGTTCTTTCAACTTTCAAACAGTATGTACTTTAACAGGGTTGTTGTGAGGATCAAAAGAGATAATATTTATATAAAAATCACTTAGCACAGTGCTTGGCGCATAGTAGGCATTATATAAATGCTTCTTCCTCTTGCCCCTTACTGTCTCCCAGTGCAATTCTATGCACTGCACCATCTAGCTCCCTCTTCCTGCTCATGAATTCTATGATTTCCTCCCATAGGAAGGATATGGGAGGTTGAGGAATGTGAGAAGGCTGGAAGAGGCCTGTCCCAAGGCTGCATCCAGGTCTCAAGAGAGCCAAGCTTGGCTATAGCTATTCCTTTTCTCTCCCTCAGCTCATGAAAGGCTTCCTCTGAATGCTAAAAAGAGCCCATTTGTTTTTCGTTTTGCTCATTAATTAATTGATATTAAAGGGACCCTTTTAAGGACATTTTTCTTTGAGGGAACAGAAGGCACTGCCCATAAGAGATGTTTGATAAGTTTAGAATTGAATGGAGTAGTTGGGGAAATTTAAATTTATGTCACTGCACATGGAAAATGGTTTGTGTTCATGAAATGGGTTGTCTCTCCAGGGTATGGCAGCTCCATTAAATAAGATAAGATTCTTAAACTCCATTTCAATTCAACGACCATTTGTTATATATCTCCTAAATGCAGGTCATTGTTTTTAGTGCCAGGGGCTCTAAATATGAAAATTGACTCAGTCTGTTTCCTCCAGGGGCTCACAATCCAATCTAATGGTGGTGTTGGTGTATGTAGCAAAGAGGAGAGGATGTAGGAAAAGCATATGAAGATGGTCACTACGTCCTTAGAATACAAGCTCCTCAAGAATAGGGATTGTTTCATTCTTTGTATCTGTATCCCTAACACCGAGCACGGCGTCTGGCACTGTGCTTCGTAAAGGATTGTTCATTAGATGATTCATTGACTGAATACAAACAGACAGGATGCAAGGCAGAGTGTGATCAGGAGAAAGGAAAGAGAGAGAAATTGTTATGAGAAGTGAGAGAGATCAATTTCACTCAGGTAGGCAGAAGGGAGGTGGAGGAGGAGGTAGCACCTGAGATGGGCATTTAAGGAAGGGAGGGGCTTCAATATATGGAGATGGGGGGTAGATAAGGACTGTATTCCTATTATAGAGAAAGGAGCAAGAGAAGGCATGCAGGTGGGAGAGGCCAGAATGAGACTGGGGAGGAATCCAGTTGTGCTGGAATGTAGAAAATGAGAAGGAGGCTAGTATAAGCTAAGATTGGACAGGTAAGTTGGAATCAGTTTGTAGAGTGCCTTGAATGTCAGCCTCAGGCATTGAAATTTCACTTTGTAGGCAGTGGAGAACCTTTTGCTTTGACCAAACCACACAGTCAGTAATATGCCTGAGTTATTCTAGTCTTTTGGGACCTGAGAAAGATTATTTTCTTGGAAGAAAATTGCATTGTGTCTATCATTTGACAATGATGGACAGGGCAGCAATCATTTCCACTAAAATTTGCATGTGATGCCGCATCATGCATGAAGGGACACCAGGTTCTTGCAGGCTGCATCAGTAGAGTTTGAAGTCTGATACCTCCCCCAATCTGGAGAACTTCACGTGCTGCACCAGTAACAGTCTGGTTTAGATAAATTGGAAGCGTTTTGTCACCAGGTTGATGACAGGATAATTCTGATGGCAGTATGATCAGTTTTGTTCGGAGCAACTCTTAAGAACCATCTCTTAAGTCATGGAGTGGCTGTGGTCTGTGTGAACAGATGGGTCACGCTGACAGAATCACAGATCCTCTGAGTGATGAAGTTAACAAAGACACACTTCGTAGATGATACGAATTGCTGATGTCTCTCAAACTCCACCCCTCGTTCCCCCAAAGCTGTCCTCAGGTTTTTTACTGCGTTCAGCTTGAGGCACAGGAGTAATGGAAACTTTTGCTACAAACAGCATTTGTTAGCGACTTCCCTCTCTGTGGTTTTTTTCCCCCTCTGTTGTTCCCCTGATAAAACAACTTGAGCTGCCTAAGTTTAACCAGAACACACAAATCTCATCTTCACATAAAAAACATCAGCTCTCATGAAGCAAGCTGCTTTTTAAAAAAAATGATGCACTATGCATTCTAAATTGGGTCATTCTCAATCCCAAGAGCTTGATGCCAGCCCCACTTTGAGTGTATGTTTCCTCTGTCTTAGTTTTGAAGTTGCTTCTTCTAACCCAAGAGTGAGCTATCGAGCTGGAGAGATGGGCAACAGCATGAAGACATCGACTGCGCCACCTGAAAGACCTCTGCCTGGTCCAATGGGTAAGTCCAATTCCTTTGCGGCTACTGGCTCAGTGCATGGTCTTTCCAGCAGCTCATTCCATGTAGGTGAGAACTTCCTGAGGAGGAGCAGTGCACCATGCATAAGTCTGCACAACAATCATGGGACTGGAGCTTAAGTTAAGAGATCTCTGTTCCAGTTCCAGCATTGCTATTGACTGTGCCCTCTTTTAGCTTTAACATCCGTATTTATAAGATGATATTGGGGGCTCTTCCAGCTCTAACATTCTATGCTTCGTTTTTCTTTGAGGTTTCTTAGTGATTATTGGGATTCCTACTGACAGCCATGAGGCAGCATATTTACAGCACAAAGATCACTGACTTTGGAGTCAGGGATCTTGGGTCTTAACACTTCCTCGTGCAAGCTCTTAAATGGGTCAGTTAATCTATATGGGCCTCAGTTTCTTATCTATAAAATGAGAGAAGTTACAGTAGGTGGCCTCTCAGGTTTCTTACAATTCTAACTCTATGTTCCTATGAATTTTCTGTCTAGTTCCTAAAGTTAAAAAAAGGGATTAAAATGGTAAATTAACTATATGTCCCTCAGGGCTCTGTGGCCCCAGGAAAGAGCAACCAATATAGCTGTGCTAAGGCTGCTGATGGCAAGGTACAAGGGAAATAATACCCTGTTGATAAGGAGCAAGTGATGATGCTTAGGTATCTGTGCTAGGTTCCCAGGTAAATGACTTTCTAGAGCCCAGGAATTAACTCAGGGTCCCGTAGAATGAAGTATATAGGTGACTGATTTAGAAAAAATTAAATTGGTACTAGGTGGAGGGAGGTTGGAAATTTTTTGTATGTTGATATCAATCAATCAATAAATGCTTCTTTTGTGCCTCTATATGTCAGGCACTGGGGATACAGAGATGAAAATGAAATAATCCCTTCCCCAAAGGAGCTTATCAGGATAGGCAACAACTTCTAAGCTCTCCTGCCAAAATCCCTCCATGAAACTGTCAGAGACAGAATTGAGATTGATGAATTCTTGTTTATGTCCAGTATAACATTTGTTTAAGTTGATTTGCTTTGGAATTCTTGAGGGAAATAGGATGGTTGCCTTGAGAACACCTCGTACAAGTGAAAAGTACGGTGAACTTGAATGAAGACATCTGGCTTCTAAGCCTGTGTCTTCCAAGAAATGGCTCCATTACTTTTGGCAGGTCAATTCGTCCCTCTGGGTCTCAGTTTCCTCTTCTTGAAAATGTGGGGATTGGAACAGCTAAGCTTTAAGCTTTAGGATGACATCCAACTTTAATACTGTAGGTTTTTGTTTATAATCTTTTATGTTATAAGGATCATTTTAATTCTGGCAGTCTCTGTTCTTACATTGAACTTTCTAAGGTTTATTCCAAGTCTGACATTTCATGTTCTATATATTCTAAGTCTCTCCCAGTTCTAACCATTTGTATTGCAACATCATATGTTCTAAGGTTTATTCTACATTGAACATTCTATGTTCTACAGCATCACATTTGAAGTTCTTCCACCTTCAATGTTCTATGAATCTATGAAAGTCAAGGAATTAAACTGGTACTCAATTAAGCCACTGGTAGAACTAAAAGAGGTTAAAGTGATCCTGCCACCGCCGCTCCAAAGATAGCCTATTTTTTACATACTTTAGAACTCGTCATCCTCAGGCACTTTCAAGTGGATGAGTTCTCCTAGACTGTTGCAACTTAAAGGAAGCTGAGTCACAGAATCACAAAATGTTAAAGCTAGAAACGATCTAAAAATTATCTAGTCCAATTTTCTTGTTTTTATAGATGAAGGCATGGAAAACTTGAGAAGTCAAATGACTTGCCCAAGCTCACCCAGTCAGTTAGTGGCAGAGCTTTCATCTAAACCAGGTCTTCTGATGTCCAGTCTAAGCTTGAAACAAGCTACAGATGAGCAATATTGGATTAGGTAAAATGTGGAGTTAGAGACAGCACTGAATGCAGCTCTGGCCAGAACAGCCCTGGTTTTCACTTGTTCTGTTAGCTGCTGATTTCCTATGCCAAGTGACTCATGACATGACCACTCAGTTGTCTTGATTAACTTGAATTGCACTGGGGGTGGGAAGGATATGGACACCCAAAGCAGCCACACATTTTGTTGTCTATTACTGTAAGGTGAAGGGGAAGGCAGCATAGTATCCCTGAATCCAACTGTTCTTGCATTGTTTTCACTATAAATATTAGGCATTTCACATTTTAAAGTGAGGAAAATTATACACACTCAGTCACCTACACATTAAAAAATTCTGAATAGTCCATGAAGTGGATGGATCAGAATTATTTGAGGAATGAGCTGTCTAATGGGCTGTAGAAGGCTTTCCTTTTCAAATATGGGTTAGTTTGGATGACTTCTGAGGTCTATCCTAATTCTGAGATTCCACGAGGCCATAAGGATGATGATAATGTTTCAATAATCAAAAGCCACGAAGAAGTCAAGAGACAGAAAGAAATTAAATCCATAGCCTAAATGGAGTTAGACAGGGACCTTAATGAAAGCCAGGATATATCTAAAAATCAGGAAATATGTCCAGACTACTTATTTTTCTTCCTTTTTGAAATTTATCAGAATGTGAATCATGAAGTCACAGTCCCTCCAAGTTGGAAGGGATCTCACCATCTATTTCTTCCCCTACCTGGGTTAGAATTCCTTCTACAATGAATCCTTTGTCCTTGACTAAGTAGTCAATCCATCCTCTTCTTGGAGACTTCCAATTATGGGGAACCTGCTACCTCCCACTGTAGCCCATTATTTAATATAGTAGAAAGAGTGCTGGACTCAGAATGAATATATCCTGGATTCAGATCCAACTTCTGACACTTAAGAGCTGCAAGGCCGTGGGCAATTCACTTAACCTTAAAGAATTTGTTAGCTCAATTATTATTCTCCCCCCTTGCCTTGTATGGTTGTAGTGAGGCTCAAATGCAACAGCACATGTAAAGCAATTTTGCAGACTTTATGGTGTTGCATAAATGACACTGGCCACATAGCTGTTGTAGGGCAGCTCTGATGATTAAAAAACATTTCCTGAATCAAGTCCAAATGTACAGTGTCCCTGCACTTCCCTCCCCCCCCCCCCCCCCGCCCAGTGTTGCTCCTAGTCTGGCCTCTGTGGCCAAGCACAACTAATATATTCTTCCTGCTGTGAAATCCCTTCAGATCCTTGAAACCAGGCATCACGTCTCCCCCAAGTCTTCTCATCCCAAGCTAAACAGCCCTAGCTCTTTCATCCTGTGGCATGTGATAGTTTGACAATGAGATTGAATAGATCTACTGCTGACAAATGTTTGAGTTTCACTTTTCTAGTGAGTGACCCAAGAAACTTTAGAGATCCTCTAATCTAAATCTCTTACTTTTCCAATGAGGAAACTGAGGCCTAGAGAGAGGAAGTTATTTGGCCAACATCACATGATGAGTTAGTACCAGTAAGGAGGGAGAACAGGTGGGTAGCACATAAAAAAGGTTTGATTCCCAATGCTTCTAGAAAAAAATACTGTATTGTAATGTTAATTGGTACACAAATATGTTTTATAAGAAACATGCCAGAAATTCTTTATATGGATCTTGCAACAAACACACCAGAATAGGAGAGTTGTCTCTTTGAGAAAAATTACAATAAGGCTACCCGTGCTTGTTAGGAGAAGCTCATTGGCAGTTGGCATCCAGCCTTGCCGGCTTCTTTGGTGGTGGCAAGATTTCGTTCTTTGAAGGTTTGATTTGGCAGACAAAAAAAGTGGGGAAATAGAGTGTGGGGGGTCACAGAGGCATGACAATATAATATAAAATGAGACTGATTATCACAGAATTTGAGAGTTGGAAGGGACATTCAGTGACCTTTTAGTCCAGGACTGTGCTGTACTCAGCTCAAACAGGTTCTCAAGAGCTGATTGTTAAATGTTCAGTACATGTACTTAATGTACATGTACAATGGGCAATGAGCATGTACACCTTGGAAATCAGCTAACTACAGATAGAGACTTGATTTTTTTTGTTGTTGTTGATTGTCTAGACTTAAGAAGTGATGGAGAAAATGTTAATAATTTAAATTAACTTTTTTAAAAGTATGCCCAGCATACATTCCTCCACTCCGACTCCGGAAAGTTGGTTGCTAAATATTTACCTATCTAAATATCTACTGTTGCTCTAGTCAAACCCATATCCAAAAGGAACCCTTACTGTAATAAACCTAGAAAGTGGTTATCTGCTCTTTTGAAGCCCTCCAAGGAGAGGCAACTAGGTGGTGCAATGGATAGAGTGCTGAACCTAGAGTCAGGAAGACTTATCTTCCAGAGTTCAAATCTGGCCTCTTAACCTCTGTTTGCCTTAGTTTCCCCATCTGTAAAATGGGGATAATAATAGCACCTACTTCCCAGTGTTGTTGGGAAGATCAGATGAGGTAATAATTGTAAAGCATTTAGCATAGTACCTAGCACATAGTAAATACTTTATAAATATTTGTTATTATTATTATAATCAATAATTGTTATGCCCTCTTTATGGGATACCATTAATTTTAATAATGATTCTAGAGCTTCCTTTGTGATGTAATATGGGGCAGTCTGACTTGGTAGACAGAGTTCTGAACTTGACTTTAGGAACCTTGGATCATAGATTTAAAAAAATCGTAGATATGGAGTTGGGGGGGACCTCTAGTCTAGTCTAGACCTTCTAGTCTGATCCCTTCATTTTATAGATGAGGAAACTGAGGCCCAAGGAGGTTAAGTGACTTGCTCAAGGCCAGGGGCAGGATTTGAACCCGGGTCCTCTCATTTCACAGAAAAAGTCTACAATTCACAGCATTTTTTCCCTACTAGATAATGTCAAAGCAGAGAAGGGAATTAAAGCTATATGATGGATACTTCATGGGTGAAATTCCTTTCCCTTTCCTTTGTCTTTAGATTTTAGGGGTAGGGGTAGTGATTTGAGAAACATCTTCTGCGTAAGGCCCTTGAGGTCATTTGGCTATCCCATGGGTAGCTCAGCTATAA